GCTGCAGCACCCCACACAAGTGTTTCTGCTCTGATGGGCTGAGCGGGTGATGCACCCGCCCATCTTCTACTTTGCCCCCTGTCCCTAGATGGGACCATGACCTTCGGGACGTAGGCTGGCACTTCTGGCACGATGCAAAGCAGCAGCAGGCAGCAAGCCTGCTGGAGCACGGCTTTTTCCTTTTAAAAGCAAACAAACAACAACAACAACAATATGAAAGGCATACCAAATGTTTTCCAGACCCTTTAGGGAAACACAAGTATTAAAGGCCGTGCCTTCACTCTTCCCCTTTGGTCTCCCCCTAAGCAAACAAATAAATGAGCTCCCAATAAATACTTAAAAATTTCAAAGGCATTATTTTTTCATTCTTTACACATCAAAAATAATTATATTACAGTTGAAATTGGTAGGCACTTTTAAATTGCTCTGTGTCTGAGGTGATAACTCTGTATGCTGAGGTGCGTATATTTGTGTTGTATATCTCTGGAAGTGAAGTTTGTAATGGAAAAGCTCACAGACTCTTTACTTGCAGCATTCCTATAAGTCAAAGAAGTCACACAATGCCCTTTCATTTCCAAAGCTAGACTTAAATCAGGTCAATAAATCTACAGACTCATTATGAGATGCAGCATGGGTAATGCAAACAACTAAAAAAAACCAAGTGCAGCGGAGTTTAAAAACAGGGAGTGAGGTGGAAAAAAAGTTTACCATCCACACAAGAAAATGAAAATGCAATACAAAGGCACTGTGGCAGGCAGTGCCTTGAAGTGATCCCTGCTAAATTACAGTCGTGCACTTTCCGCTCTCTGTAATCAAACGTTAGGTTTCACTTATTCCAGATGTGTTTGCTTCAAATAAACCCAGGCCCTTTTTGTTTTGTTACTGCAAGTCCTTGACAGTCACCCATGGACAGTCACGAAGGCAAGAGAGCTCTCTGGGCAGGCCGAGGTGCTTGGAGGTGACCGTGGGTGGCTCTGGGGCCCTGCCGCCTCCCTCTGGCCTCCAATGGAGGACTTGCCTGGCCTGCCTCCAGCCGCTGTGGGGATGGCCTGAGAGCTAAAGCTGATTTGTCCCTGAATGCGAAAGTGAAGCCAGTTGCATATCCTGTTAGCCTCTCCGTTTTGGCTTGTAATTACTGTCTGCCTAGATATTTGCAGGTCTTTCATATAGATGGAGTTAGGGATGGGGATGTCTTAGAGGCCGGTCGGAGCGTGTGTAAATGGGGTGTGGGAGAGCCGGGAAGTCTCCCTGCTCGAGCATAAGTCGCTCAGAAGGAAGGGGGGAATTGTAATCAGTGTAATTGTAATCAGTTCCAATCCGATGTAATGACAATTCTCACGTGTATGCTCACAGCTCAAGTTTACAAAATGGCCAGACTTTATTTATTTCTACTTTCAGAAGGAAAAAAAAAATCACAACACCCCTGGTAAGGCAGCGTGTGTTGAGGTGCTCGAGGTCATTACGCCCCGCACCAAGCTCTCAGCACCTGCTTCTGCTCTCCCTGTTCAGGTAAAGGCCCACAGCCAGTGGCCCCAGTGGCTTCTTCCCCTGCCTGCCCATGGCTATCACCTTGTCCTGGGGGCTGGAGCAGGCCTTGGACCCCAGGTGTTGGACCCTGTGGAGGAGAGGGGCTGGGGAGGATGCGAGTGGAGGGGACGGGCCGTTAGAGGGCACTTTTGCAATCCTGGAGAAGGCGAGCGGTGCTTATTATTTCACTTAGGACTGTTTGCTTTGGCTCTTTCTTAAATTCAGTGATAAACAGCAGGCAAATCCCTCCAGTCAGCAGGAATATATCAATAAAATATTGACTCTGAGTTTAAAAGAAAAGAAAACAAGCCGAACTCGTGGAAGAGGGAACAAAAGACATTCAGAAGGTGGCACAGTCTGGAGAACAAAAGTCACACGGCGTATTTCACGTCGTGTGTGAGCTTTAGGGGGCAGGGTTTGGGCAAGTATGTGCATTCGAAAAATAAAACACACTTGGACCATGTGGCACCAAGAAAATAGGAACATTGGTTGGACGTTTTCAGGAGTGGGGTGGGATTGTGCTTGTGCTCACAGGCACTGCACACATTTTTGGAGGAATGCTGTCAAAGTCATTGCCCAGGGTGAGCTTGTCCAGAAGGAAACATGGGGCAAAGAAATGCTTTTGGCTTGTTGTTTTGTGTGAGTGAATTGTAGAGGATTTAGCTTAAAACTATGTGAAATCAATCAGTGCCCTGCAAAAAATATACATAAATAAAAAATATGTTTATTAACATATTTGAAAGGCTGGTATAATGCTGACAGCAGTTTTTTCCAAAACTTGGTGAGTTTTCAGTGCCTCTTTGCTATTTAGGTGTCCCACCTTTGGAAATGTCATGTATGAAAATTGCTCCTGTTTTAAGTCTCAGAGGTTGGGTATGTGAAAATGAAGGCACTCAAAATCCTACTTGCTTGTAAAGGAACCAAGTTTATAAAAGGTTTGTCTTTCATTAGCAGTCGACGATTCTGCAAGCTATTTCACATATAAAATGGGCCGGTGCTGCCTTCCTAGCCTGGGGAGGGAGCACAGGACTAACCTTTACGTATCTTCTGTGGTTAAGTTTAAGCTGAAGCACTTTTACAATTAGTTACAGGAATCACAGACAAATCCTTACCTTTTCGCTACACTGCAGTAGTTACTGGGGACAGAAAGGCTGTCTACCAGTTTTTAAAGTGGATTAGCTAGTAAGATTGTTTAAGAAGTGAAGCTTAGCCTGGGTAGTCCTATAATCAGAAGTAGTTTATTTTAATAACGGTTACACTGCACTGGAGCAGACTGTGAGAGTATACGATATTGCAATTTCAGGGGGTTCACGTGGAGGACGTGGTCTGCAGAAAGCATCCGTGTTTCTTACCTAACCAAATAATCTGCTGTAGCTGGTGTGTATAAATTAGAAAGAATTTCTTCCCTGTTGGCCAACGATAATATGTGAAAAGTCAATAAACAGTGCTTTGCAGCACATGGAGCTCGTCTGGTGTCCTATGAGGGGAGATTTCTGCTGACTTCGGTGACTTGAGTCAGACAGTATTTTGACTTAGGATCTTTGCTCTGAAAGGCCAAATGTCATTGCCTTTGGTGATCAGTATCAACACTTTGGTCTGAATTCAACAAAGTATGCCTGCTGTCATCCAAATCTAGGTAAGGAGCTGGTCAGGATAAACTTTGACAAACACTGGGAGAGACAAACCATGATTTGACTGCAAGTAGCAGCTACATGTCTTAGGTAAAGCCATGTATGCCCTTCCCTCCCTTAGGGCAGAGCACTGCAGTAAGCTCTCAAATTATAATGAAATACTCAATTTAAAACCTGAGTGATGGAGATGAAGTGTTATAAGCCCTGCAAATGGGAAATTATGGTGACGGAGCCTTGCCATCCCCCAGCCCTGTGTTGCTGTTGTGAGGTTATCGCCGAATAAATAACGGGCTGAGGCTCTTTTGGGGTTTTCAGAAGGCAATCACAGGAGGGGGAAGGAGGCGGCCACTGATGCTTCCCTCAGGGGGACATGTTTATATTTTCCTTAAGAGCTTGCAAAAAGACCAATTTTATTATGGCTTAAAATACATCATGCCACTTCTCACGGAGTCTTGTATTTACTGTTTTTATGTAAAAGACTAGAGAAAGGTTGTGTAGAGGAAAAAGCAAACAAACAAACAACAACAAAAACACACCAACTGAACGGTGGATTTGATTTTAAAGGTAAAAAGAAAGTGTCTTATGAAGCAATAATCAACTTATTCTGCAGTATATGGACTGGGGCATGCGTGCACACTGAACCAAGTAGCAACAAGCAAAGTAAGATGAAACTGTTCCTGCCAGCTCAATGTTTTTACCACGCTTTTCCCCAAAGCCAGTGGCTAACACAGTTTAGGTAATGGCCTAAAACTCATTTTTTTCTTCTTTTCTAATTTTAGGAATATAATCGTTTAGCGGTTTAAACTCACTGTGCTCATACCAGAAATGGGCTGCGTTTCCCCTCACCCCAGCCAGAGCCATTGGTATGAGATCATCTGCTGTATTGAAAGGAGATTTGCAGTCTATCCCACTGTATACGTTAGGGTAGTCATTACTGACCTAGTTGTAGACATAATAATGAAAGGCTGAGATTATGAATTATTATGCCTAATTTGTAAGGGATTCTCTGCTTTTGTGTTTTGCAATTCCCATCAGGCTTGAGGATTAAGCCCTGCTGAATTGCATGCTAATACCAATGTGCTTTGAATATGTGTGGGTTTATATCACATATTTTCCTAATTCTCTATTTTTATAAAGAGCAATTTCACTGGAAATATTTACTTTTCAAAGGATTGTTGGAAGCCCAACCAAAATCTGCTAAGCGATGTTGCTGTGCCCTCCATCTGCTCTGTGCTTACTCTGGGTCCCATGTCCAGCGAGTTCTATTTCTCCTGTGGCAAAACATCAAACTGTAGCTCTACCAAAGTATGTTCAAGGCTTTTGCTCTTTGTTAAAGGGGGAGAGAGAGCCCAATTTCAAACCACTGTGTGGGCTTGCTTTCAATTATAGTTTGAGATGGAAAAATCTTATTTACATACTTTATCCAAGAGCTCTGACAATGCAAGTTTGGTCCTTACACCACATACTCCCAGTGCTCATGTGGCAGTACTGTGAAAGTTCCTGCAAAACATAAAGGGCATGCAACATCCTTGTAGGCATGCATTAGTTTCAGTGGCTGAATAAGCCTTTCAAACTCATACCTCCTTGCTTAACTCCCTCATACTCTGCAGCTTGGGTCTAAAGGATTGGTTGAAGACTGTAGTAAGCTCTTAGGGCAGTATTAAATCAGCATGTAGGAGCCAAGTGTGTCTGCGTCTAGCTGAGCTCGTGAACGAACAGGTCATGACTAAACCCTGTGCTTCACTGCGGTCTCCCTTGAGCGGCGTGAGATGAGGTGGGGGCAGTTTCTGCTGTGCACTGTGTGGCTCAGCTCTCACCAGGGGATCCCTGTTGTTGCTGCAGGATGCTCCTGCTTCACTGCCCGCTGCTCTTGCTGCTGCTGCCACTCAGCTCCAGGACGCAGAAGTTGCCTACCAGAGATGAGGAGCTCTTCCAGATGCAGATTCGGGACAAAGCGTTTTTTCATGATTCGTCAGTCGTCCCAGATGGAGCCGAAATTAGCAGCTACCTGTTCAGAGACACACCTAAAAGGTATTTCTGCCCAGTTTAAGTGAGGTCCTTGTACTTGGAAGATAGCAGATTTATTTGTTGTCTGTTTTGAAACCAAAACTGAATCCAAATAAGAGAAATTCTATGAAGTTCTATTCTATGAAATACAAGTGCCAGTGCTCTGGCTGGTGAAGTAAATAACTGTGCGAGTCTCCATCCCAGTCTAGCCTCCCCAGCTGAGGGTCTGTGCAATTTGTGTGATTCCTGGTATCAGCCCAGAGCTCCCACAGACCACAGAAGTTCCCTGAAGTGGGGCCACTAACTATGTCTGGATGCAAAGGGAGGGGGAAAGAAATTAGAAACTACAGGCTAACCTCACCACACTTGTCTCTCTTCATTATTTCATATTGTGCTTTAAAGAAGCAGTGCAAGCCAATTCTGGCCTGGTTACCCCTCTTCCCAGCCTCAACCCTATGGGTCAGAAAATACCAAGGTTAGTCTGGAAAAGGAATCAGGGCTCCAAAGGGGTCAGGGAAGAGCAGAAATGCTACTGTCCTCCACATACCACACACCTCCTTAAGCCTTTGTGAATGAGGAACACTTTACAACTAGTGACACGTAGTACTTGGGGAGGACACAGGGAGACAGCTGAATGTGCATGTGCCTGTATGTGCTTCTAGGGCTTTTACCTGGACATATAAAAAAAAAAGGTGTCCTGCTTTGAAGAGCTTACCCCTAAATTCCAGGAGAGACCCCCGTTTCCCTTACTTATATGTTTGTGACCACTTATTCTGTGCACAGTTAGTGTAGGGGCAAAAAGTGAAGCTGATGAGGGAGAAGGGCAGGAGGCCAGAACCCCCTCTGCCATATCATGAAAAATGCACTGTGAGCTCTGCAGCTCAGTGCGGGCAGGGGGACCTCAGCCCCTCACCTCCTTAGCCTTCACCTGACTTTCTGTATTCCTTCTGTACATGCTTGCCTGTAAGTAACATTTTTGCCTCTGTTGCCCTACCAAGGTCAGCCTTGATAATGTAAAGTCAGCCCCTGCCTGTTGGCTGCCACCAGGGTATACTGACATTATGGTTCTGTTAACCTTCCCCTAGGTACTTCTTTGTGGTTGAAGAGGACAACACGCCTCTAGCAGTGACAGTGACACCATGTGATGCCCCCCTGGAGTGGAAACTGAGTGTGCAAGAGCTCCCAGAGGAAGCCAGTGGAGAAGGTTCAGGTATTAAACCATCAAACACTTTCCTTATGCCTCAGAGTTCCACTTTTCTCCTGTATTCAAAGCTCCTCAGGCCAGTCTCAGTGTGATGCTGAGTGTCACAGCAGGTCCATCTGTATGATCTTTGGATCTTCAGCACTAGTCCTGCTTTTGTGCAGGAAACTGTCAGTAGGTAGCAACATTGGGAAGGAAAAACATTGTAAAAAAGTAAAAACACAAGCTGAGGTTATAGTTACAGAGTGCACTGGATGCTGCCACAACAGACTATTTGCCCAGAGTAGCCTGGTTTCACTGGGGGTTTTGCTGTGGGCTGTGCACACAAGGTAAGAGTGGGAGAGGCAGGATTGGTATTGTTGCAGGGCTCAGAAACATGCCGAGAAACAGGCAGCAGAGACAGTTCATCCCGAGAACTAGTATAGCACATCCAAGCTGGGTGCTTGGAGTAGTCTAGTGGAAGGATGGAAGCCACCATCCACACAACTCCATTAATGTGCAATTAAAGTGCAATTTCTATTACACGTGTTTTTAACCTGAGTGCCAAACTGCCTGATAGGATGGAACTATGGTAACATCTTCCTCAGAAGATACAACCTTTCATTTTCATCTCACACTTCTATTTTGTGTAGAAGTGTCTGTTAGTTTTATTTTCTCATATTCCTGGATTGTGTCTCAACAAATGTTTTTCTATGCTTATAATCTAGGTGAACCAGAACCTCTTGAGCAACAGAAACAGCAGATTACTAATGAAGAAGGCACAGAGCTGTTCTCTTACAAAGGCAACGATGTCGAATATTTTGTGTCCTCTAGTTCCCCTTCTGGTTTGTACCAACTAGACCTGCTGTCAACAGAGAAGGATACACATTTTAAAGTGTATGCAACTACTACTCCAGAAGTCTGACCAACCTTACCCTGAATTACCTTATGATCCCAGAATTGATGTCACTTCTCTGGGACGTACAACAGTGACACTGGCATGGAAACCGAGTCCCACGGCCTCATTACTGAAACAGCCAATTCAATATTGCATAGTCATCAATAAAGAACACAATTTCAAAAGCCTCTGTGCTGTTGAAGCCAAACTCAGTTCTGATGATGCCTTCATGATGGCTCCAAAACCAGGTCTGGATTTCAGTCCATTCGACTTTGCCCATTTTGGCTTCCCCACAGACAACAACGCTGGCAAAGAACGTGGTTTCCTAAAATCATCATCAAAGTTTGGGCGCCAAACATCCTCAAAGCCGAGAGTTGACCTGCACAAAGTTTGTATCGGGAACAAGAACATCTTCACAGTGTCTGACCTGAAACCCGACACACAGTACTATTTTGACATGTTTGCAGTAAACACTAACACTAACATGAGCACCGCATATGTTGGCACCTTTGCTAGAACAAAGGAGGAGGCTAAGCAGAAAACAGTTGAACTGAAGGATGGCAAAGTTACAGATGTATTCATCAAGAGGAAGGGAGCCAAATTTCTACGGTTTGCTCCTGTTTCGTCTCACCAGAAGGTCACCTTTTCTGTTCATTCCTGTCTGGATGCTGTTCAGATCCAAGTTAGAAGAGATGGCAAACTTCTCTTGTCTCAAAATGTGGAGGGAGTACGGCAGTTCCAGCTGCGAGGAAAAGCAAAAGCTAAATACCTAATTAGGCTGAAAGGAAGCAAAAAAGGTGCTTCTGTGCTGAAGGTCCTGGCAACAACAAGGCCTAACAAGCAGTCATTTCCTTCTCTACCTGAAGATACAAGAATCAAAGCCTTTGACAAACTCCGCACGTGTTCTTCAGTCACGGTGGCGTGGCTTGGCACACAGGAGAGAAACAAATTCTGCATCTACAAAAAGGAAGTGGATGACAATTACAACGAGGAGCAGAAGAAAAGAGAACAGAACCAATGCTTGGGTCCAGATACGAGGAAGAAATCAGAAAAGGTTCTCTGTAAATACTTTCACAGCCAGAATATACAGAAAGCAGTCACCACAGAGACAATTCGGGGCCTGCAGCCTGGCAAGTCCTACCTGCTGGACGTTTATGTCATAGGGCATGGAGGGCACTCTGTCAAGTACCAGAGCAAACTAGTGAAAACGAGAAAGTTCTGTTAGTGCCCCTGCATACAGGGAACTCCGGTCTGAACATTATCCTACTTCCCAGCATACAGATTGACTACTTGCACAGCTGAGAAGCTGTGACCTGTATTTGTACTGTGTAGAAAAGATATCAGCTTGTATATTTATGTTTACATAAGTAATTGTTTGGAGGAACTGGGGCCGGTGCTCCCTGTAGCATCTGGCAACTGTATTATCATGTGTCCGGTGACCCACATGTGATGCTCAGTAGATGTCCGAGGTAGCAGGAAACCTTGAAGGAACTGGCACTCCTTTGCTTCCACATTGCATGAACTGCTCCTAAATTATTTTATACTTAAAAGGCTGAGATAAGTCATTCATCCACCTTGTTATGCGCACACAAGACATGCAGGCATACACCCTTTCTCTCAGTGTAGATGGTAGGGTTTCTGTAAATTATTTTATAGAGTCTTGTTTTAAATGTTTATGTTTCTATGATTGTAAACTATTAAAATCTCTCCCTGTTAAAATACAGATCTAAACTAAGTATTAACTGGGCTGCACATGAATCAGTTTCATTGCTAATGTAAATTCTTACCTAGCTGATTTTCATGTTTAAATACTGTATGTATTTCATGTACAAAGTTGCCATAACGTTATATTCCTGTACAGAAAATTAAAAACAAATATTAGATTATATATTGTTTCTTTTTCTTTATATTTTAAGGGGAAAAACAAGCTTGAGGACAGAAGAGGGGTGTTGAAACTTGAACTGAATTCAGCTAGCACACACCCTTTTTTTTTTTTTTTTTTTTTTTTTTTTTTGCTGTTCTTCATCTTTTGGGGCAAGGTGACTGAAGTGCAGTAGAAGGAATTACTGGTGTCAGAGGTTAAAATCTGTAAGGGAGATATTGAAAGAGGGTCATTTGTGGCATACTCCATGTCTGCTGTGATAGAAACACTGGAGGAACAGGACAGCACATCAGAACTTTTCTTGTTCCAGGTGAGAAAGGGTCCTGCTTTGTCATGGTTGCAAGTGCCGCTGGCATTTAGTGTTCCTCAGGAGTTCACAGTCTGACTTAGAGCGAGCATACAATTCAAACAAATAACACACCAGAGAGCCAGACGTTATTTTCGTTAGATTATCATTGAAAACATTTACTTTCTGGATGCTGCTGGTTTTGACCACAGCAATAATAAGCTGAGAAGATTTTTTTTCCATTGACAGGAATGGTAGTGCTAACAAAAAAATAGTACTTTCATTTAAACTGCAGTTGTTTCCATTGTGTAGATTTCTTTAAAATGTTAACTGTCTGGATCTCATCTTTCCTAAATTTTCTTTCTTTGTTTTTCCACGTGTCACCTTCACTGACTCAGAAACTTGTATAGAGCTGCTTAATGGAAAACACATTCTGAGAAGCAACTAGAACAACCCTGTTTCAAGTGGCTAAGAGCAGGATACATGCTTCATCAGTCCCAATATTATAGTGTGGTTCAGGGCCTCAGGACAGGTAAATGAGACTTTTTTTTTCCTTGGTCCCATCATATGCATCAATCCAAACTTTGGCAGTGGATGTTGGGACTTATTCAGAGATGGGGCAGTCTGTCTCTTGCTTCAGAGCTTGTCCATAAAACTGCACTGTTCCAGCGCTTACAGCCCCCTTGGGACTCACAATACACTCAGAGAAACTGGGGAATGAGGGAAAGGGACCAAAACCCACATAAAGGCAGAAAGCAGATTTCTCTTAGGCTGCTCATAGGAGAGACAAAAGCTCCATCCCTGTAGAGGTGCTCTCCAGTTTTCCTTGGCTCCTTGGTGCAGAGCTCTTCAGGGTTTCCCTTCTGCTGCCAACCGGAACATTTCAGTTTGCAACCGAGAGGAAGCAGCCGGGTTTCACGGCTGTACAAGCGCCTGCCTTGTTCCATATGTAGGGTTTGTTGCTGCAGATATTTAAGATGCAAATACTCTATGTGAAGACCGGCCAGTCTTCAAGTAAAGAATTTGATTACATAAAAAAAATATATAATAAATTAAATTTAGAATTCCCTGGAGATGATCTCCTCTCCTCATTTGAGAACATCCCTGTGATTTCTTAAATTTAATTGGCTTCAGTAACACACAGCAAACCTGCTAGATTACAGTGACAGGACACAGGTGAGCAGCAAGTCACTACAGCTGGGAATCCCTCTAGAGCAAGTCTGTGATACCAGTGCAAACTCAGTAGTCGTTAGGGACATACATACCCTACATTTAACTGTCCAAAAAGCCACTGAATTTTTCCGATAAAATCAACAACTTACACTTCTGTAAGCGTTTCATTGGCGCTATTTTTTTTGGCAGGGAATGGTGCCCCTCCACTGGCATATTACAGTGTTTACTTCAAAAAGTATTTTATAACCATTCCAGCTTCCCTTTAGCCAGATTCCTCTGTTAGGGTATTCATCCAGCTTGCTTGGCTTTTCTGCATGCTAGGCACTTAACATTCACAGTAGGTAACAAAATGAAAAAATTTCCAAATGTATGATCATCTTCTATATCTGAACATTACATTTTCTAAGGAAAATGTCACAGTATTTATCTTTACTCCCACTGGAATTCTTCTTTTCCCAAACAACTAGCTCTATTTATTTTTCTGGATGAAACTGAGACCATACTAGTACTGCATTTACTAATCTCCCTGTTATTATTCAGGCCTTAGTGGACCTGAGAGAGGTCTGAGGGAGGCAGTTCTTCTTTTGAAGGGTGGAATAAAAGGGCACCAGAGTCTGTGTGGTGAATATAACAATCACCCGTAAGCCGGAGGTGCTGAAGTGGATTTTAGAGTTAAAGAGGTACCTGATGGGAAATCTCTAGACTGAGTGTATCTGAAGCACCGAGCCCAGGTAAGGAGTCACAGCATGGGTGACTGAAGAACTTTCCCCATGCCCCACCACTGCCAGTCAATCTGGGCATGAATGCAGTTGAGGCTGAGTGTGTCCTCATTCACTGGCTCACCTTGCCAGGAGTTTACAGCTTTGTGTCCACTGAGAAATAAAACAAGCCTTCAAACTCATTTTGCATGTGTCATAGAACAATAACTTTGAAGTGCTGCCCTACTTTGGGTCTGTGTTAGTCACCAGCCTGGATCCTGTTGCTAGTCCCTTGTCACATCTGTATTCCTAGTTTCTCATCAAAACAGATATATAATAACTTCTTAAAGAATATAATGGATAGACAGGTGCCATAGAAAGGGAAAAAAGGAGGTATATCGAATAAATGTACAGATAGACACATAAAAAGCTTTTCATCTTGTGTGTTTTTTAAGCACCGTGCCTGAGAGAATTGAAACAGCTTGGAAATAGAGAGTTAATGGAGTTCAGTGCTCACAGTGATGGTGCATGGCTCACTGGGAACGAATGTCGTGCTGGAATCTGGAGCTGAAGAACATGCAGGGCTTGGGGGAAGCAGCACGTGGTGGCCCGCACTGGCAACATCTCCTCACCAAGGCGTATCAGATTACTGAGACTGCAGAGTTATTTAGGAACTGAAGACACATTTCAATTAAGCAAATCATTTACACTTGCTTGTACTGAGTAGAGAACTCAAGGCTGAAGGCTGGTCTATACTATAAAAAGCTTTTATAACAGGCTAAAGGACTGGCACTGTCAAATCTTCATGTATTAGCAAGCTGTTGATCCTTGATAGAGCCTTAGGCACAGTCATTTCTCACCTACCACCACTTCCCCCTGTTTGGCTATGTCAGAGACACCGGCTTTTCTGTTTTCCACAAGTGGTACTCATTTTTATCTTATCTTGTAAAAAATATACTGCTACTAATAAAAACAGCAACAAACCTTGTCCTCGTGAGTGCAGTGTTTAGTTCCAAATTCAAGCTGTCATGCAGTTATGCTAATCTGGCCAGCGGTCCTTCTCAGGTTTTAAGGCCACTTTCAGCAAGAACATCAGGTCACAGAGTTACTCCAGGGAGACCTTTTTATGTCCAGATAAAAGAAATCAAACCTATTGTTTAGACATGAATGCATATTTTACTGTCCTGCTCATCCAGCACCAGTAACAGAATTCATTGTTGAAAAGTACGGCGTCTGCTCGACGTGTTTTTGTCTGCTTCAGAAGTGCAAGCCCCTTTCCTGGAGAAATAAACAAACTAATTCTTGGCATAATGAATGAAATTAAGAAAAGAGAGCTATGCTGGGAAGGGTTACCTTGAAGAAATACTGGGTTTTGGTCCAGGGAACCAAAAGCAGCCTGTCTGGCAGTTTTCCCCGTGTGTATATCAACTCGGTAGCTACCTGGTACAACTACTGTCGGTTGGGTTTCTGTCTTGTAACGTGATGCTCTGCATCCACACAGGGACCTGCTGTGGCTGGAAGTCAGCATAGGGGCAGAGGTTCCTCTAAGCAGATCTCATTTCAGGATTTAGGCTTTAAAATATGAGGCCCTCTAGAGAGTACAAGGACAATGTGGATTGACAGAATTTGATAAATAACGTGTGTAGTCTAATTTAAGTTGTTTATCTGGACAAGAATATATTTTAATATTTGGGAAAGGGAAGTTATTTGGCTTATTTTTTACCCTCAGTCATAATCTGCATTCTTTTTAACCACAAACTAATTGCTTACGGTGGAGTAAAGTGAACTATTTGATTGCGTATTTCCACTCTTGTTTCCCTTTTCCAATTTTACTGTGCAAGCATTCTTTCAGGTCCAAGCTAAAATGAACAGATAAAGTCTTGGCATGTACAAAGAAAATATTTGATAAGATTCTGGATGCCAAAGTATATATGAAGTTCTTGCCCTAGCACAGAAAGCTAGGAAGGATAGGAGTACTCCCGAGGTATTAACTTTTTCTTTTATGTCCTCTTCCATTTCATAATGTTTGCTATTACTTAAAAGGTCTCCTGGCATTCCAGTGATGATAGGAGTTCAGAAGAATGTGTTTTTTTTTTTTCTTCCTTATTATATGCCTTTATTTATTTATTTATTTATTTATTTATTTTACCTATTACTTCTTGTCTCTGGTTTTCACTCTAACAGATCTGCTTAGAAAGTGCAGCAGAATAAGATGGACAGTTTTGCCCAATAAACCAACTCAGAGCAATTTAACTCCTTTTCTGGGACACAAGTGAAAAAGATCTTGCTAGAAAATGCAGGGATGGGGCATGTCAGCAGTCACTGATTGAGGCTACAGAAACCTGAGGAAAACCCTTTAAAACCTCTCTTCTCTGCTGACCTTCCCTCTTGTGTAGACTTTTTTTTAATGGTGGCATGGGCACAAAATAAAGCCACACCAAAGATGATAGCTTTATCTATCTGCTTTCTCACTTGCTTTCATTGATTTGAGCAGCTACAAGAAGCAAAAGCCCCTTCCACAGGGAGACATCAGCTTGCTCTCCAGGGCGTGTGGCCCCACCTCAGCTCCACTGAGGCCAGGAGGATGCAGCTGGGCTTCATTACCAGCCCCACCAGTGGGGCCCAGTGACCTTGCTTCCTTTAACAAGCCTTTCAACATCAGCTATAAAAGATGCATGTCCTGCCTTAGTAGGAGGATAGGTAAGAGTGGGGTGTTAGAGGTAGGTGAGTGGGGGTGGTACTTTTATTTTATTTTTTTATTATTATTTTTTAAAGTAAAAGGGAAACTTTCAGGTTTCTAGTTGTTTTTTGTTTGTTTTTTAAAGCTTTACTAAAAAGCTTTTTTATTATTATTAGTGTGACACTACAGCTTCAGCTAATTGTTTGAAAGTGACTTGCAACCATGGCTTTATTAAAAAAAAGTTCCAATTTTTCCTCCTGTTATCTGAAAAGTATAGGTAATTCTTATCTGTGTCTGGTCTAGTCAGCCAGCTAAATTCATGCATAGAAGGTTTAATATAAACTAGGATGCCTACTTGTTGCTTGTGGGGAAAAATCTGGAATTCTTCCTCTATTCTCTGAGGGAAGGATGAATAAATGCTTCATATCTTAAGTGTGCCTTGATAATGTAATAGATTTTCAAGGCTGATACAGAAGGAACAATTAATTGCTGACTTTTGGGGTACTAATGTTGTGTTAATACATATGCAGATTTCATTACCTGTTTTATCCATTTCTGCCATACTTGTGTTCTTATAGTGGGTTTGGATGATAGTTGATGCTATCCTTCTGTGGTAGTTAAGACAGGCTGCTTAAAGGTACAGGTATACAGAGGATTAATTTGTTTTGATCTTAATAGACCCTAAACACCTCTGTACAATTTATGTTGCTTGCTTTTTTAATTGGAATGCTGGTTATGAACTTAGTGCTTGAAATAAGATTTTTCAATCTGATGTAAATTTTCTTAAATGTAAAACTTGTCTTAGCATTTTCTGTACCACACAGGTGTGAAAACTTTCTCTGATGTCAGTACAGCCTCTGAGTATCACTGGGAAACAATCTCTAATTCCAGTCTTCCACTTTCAATTCAACAAGTTTCTCTCTTGACTATGTTAGTACTATACTTACGTAAACGGATTCAGTGCAGGCAATCTTAAAAAAGGCTGCATCCTAGATCTGGCAAGTGCTAATTCCCATACCAAGTTTCACTTGCTGTAGTGGAAAGATGTAGACTAGCTTCAGGTGAAGCTTTTCCAGAAGGCATTAGTTCTCATCAAGCTTATTCCTATTAACTTTAATGACAGGAGGGTCGAGCTACCACCAAACATTCTTGAAAAACCTGCCTTAGGTACTCTGATTGCCAAGTAAATGATGCAAGTACAGAATTTGACAGGCTGGTTCTCATTTGTATTTGAAACTTGTCTTAATTTTCAGTAATATCTGGTATAACAGCTGCTAAAAGTAACTAGGCCTGTGCTTAGTTGTTTCTCTTCATGAAGAGAAATGTGTGTAGAAACAGGCAGCTGAAACAACTGTAGACTTCAGCTCCCCTGGTTTAGTTTAAGTAAATGTCAGTAGGGTTATTAACTGTTACTCTTATAATGCTTACCTTTCTAAAGGGCCAGAATTCTTATTTTAATGGTCAAAACATTTTTTTAATCTTAAAAATCCCTCAATGAGGAGTCTGACTGACCATGTAAAATATCTTTCCTTAAGATAAGAGCAGGAGCTGCTGCTTCATTAAATTACAAATGGGGAATGCTATTTCCTTGCTTTTCTTCTAGAATGAGAGAAAAGAAGTTATTCTGCTTAAAGAAAAAGTGTGGGATTTTTTTTGGATGAGGGGAAGAAAAGATCAGAGTCCAGTTCTGATGTTTGTTTCCCAGTGGTTTAAGTTAGTTCTCGATCTGTTCATATCTATTTGATTCCTGCACTGTCCCAAATGTGGGAGTGCACAATACTTCAGGTGGAACAAAGTGGCGATTAAGGTGTTTCTGCAGGGTAGACTTATTTGATTTTTCTTTTATTCCCCAGTTTGTATAAGTGTTATGTTTTCAGCATGTTCACTTCTACATGACTTCCGCTCCCCCTGCCTTTTCAAGATGCTGTTTGGCAAAAGCTGTGTTCTCTTGTCAAGCTGCAGCACCTGTTTCTGGCTGTGCAGTTTAAGCCTATGCGTAGAGGAGGAGCTAGGCTTTTCACATCATTTCCTTGCTGAACTTTTTTCCCCATAGCTGCATGTTACTGAGGAGAGCCTTTCATTTGTTGTTCTTAAGTACTCCATGGATTTTGGGGCCTGTTCACAGCTTCACTGAAACTCTGAAAGGTTACAATAGCAACAGGTACAACTCAGACATGGTTTAATCTCCTGAGTGAGTGTCTGGACTGGCTTATAAACTTGTGCTATTAATCCTGTTGAAGATGAAAGTTCTTCACTTCAGCTGTTCTGGTTCCAAATTCTTCTTTTGGAAGAATGCTTTCATGGCTTTTCTAAAATCCATGTAATTGGTTATAGTGAACATAATTCTTAGCTTGCATGGACAACCAATGCTGACATCAGGGTGTGTAGAAAATACCTCTTTTCCCTGACCAACCAGTTTTTTAAAGCCTTTTCTTTTTTTTTTTTAAAGTCTTTAAATGCAAGTTAAAGTGAACTGATAACACTAATAGGTTTTTGACTGCAGCTGGATATTACTTTCCAGAACAACTTGTTCTTTAATGGTAGGTCTCTACCCATTTACCAAAAAGATGTATCTATTATCATATTGTAGGCATGGTTGAATAATGAAAGCATAGTTGGCATTCTGATTTTGGAGTCACTGTGTATCTTGAAAGTCCACTGACTTACAATTTGATCTCTGCCTGATGAAAAGTGTAGAGTTATGGTACCTTTTGATGAACTGCTAGATAAATGTTTATCACGCACTTCAAAAAGGTATCCTCTCCTCCCCTGAAGGCTTCTTACTAATCCTATCTCCTGTGAGAAACTGAAAAAGAACAGGTGCAAGTGTTATTACTTGAATAGTTGCAGTTCATAAACACAAAATTGTATGGATATTAAAAAGAGATGTTACATCTCAAACAGGATAGCTACATCTCAAACAAGATAACTTATTGTTGGGGAGGGCTAATGGTGCTGGGTGTTTTCTTTCAGATAGTTAAGCATGGTCCTTATTTTTGCTCTTTGGTGGAATCAGGAGTTATTCCCTGGGATGTAGAGCGTGAGTTAATTCTGTGAGGACACAAGGATGAAGACCCCACTGAGTGTAGGCAGGGCTTGCACATAGGCTGTGGGTACTCCTGCTATTTTTCCTCCCACACACCCATATATCTTGCCAGCTGCAATCTGTCCCCATTATTATTACTGTGTTTATTCTTCTCAACTGCCTATTACACATCTGGGAAGCTGAATGGGAAATAAACACAAATATATTTACTTCAAGTTTTTTCATAGCCTTATAATTAGAAG